CAGGTTTAGAAGGAGAAAGGGAACGGTGAGTGGTTCCCGCAGCAGAACCCTCTCCTCTAAAATAAGCTGTCACATGAATCGCGTCTGGGAAAGAAGAAGCCATTTTGAATCTAGGACAAACATTGTGGGACTTCTCTATTGACAGTTATGGGGCAGACGTTACGTAATGCTGCAGATAATGCGACGGGACAGAAATTAGACATCATAGACATCACAGACATCACAGACATCATAGACATAGACATCATAGACATAGATATAGACATCATAGACATCATAGACATCACAGACATCATAGACATCATAGACATCATAGACATCACAGACATCATAGACATCATAGACATCATAGAGATCATAGACATCACAGACATCACAGACATCACAGACATCATAGACATAGACATCATAGACATCATAGACATCATAGACATCATAGACATCACAGACATCATAGACATCATAGACATCATAGACATCACAGACATCACAGACATCATAGACATCATAGACATCACAGACATCACAGACATCATAGACATCATAGACATCATAGACATCATAGACATAGACATCATAGACATCATAGACATCATAGACATAGACATCATAGACATCATAGACATAGACATCATAGACATCATAGACATCATAGACATCATAGACATAGACATAGACATCATAGACGTCATAGACATAGACATCATAGACATAGACATCATAGACGTCATAGACATCATAGACATAGACATAGACATCACAGACATCATAGACATAGACATAGACATCATAGACATCATAGACATAGACATCATAGACATCATAGACATCATAGACATAGACATAGACATCATAGACGTCATAGACATAGACATCATAGACATAGACATCATAGACGTCATAGACATCATAGACATAGACATAGACATCATAGACATCATAGACATAGACATCATAGACATAGACATAGACATCATAGACGTCATAGACATAGACATCATAGACATAGACATCATAGACGTCATAGACATCATAGACATAGACATAGACATCATAGACATCATAGACATAGACATCATAGACATAGACATCATAGACATAGACATCATAGACATAGACATCATAGACATCATAGACATCATAGACATAGACATAGACATCATAGACGTCATAGACATAGACATCATAGACATAGACATCATAGACGTCATAGACATCACAGACATCATAGACATCATAGACATCATAGACATGTATTAAACACTGACACGGCTTTTCTCCTTTTGACACAGTTTGTAGAAACAGTAGCAAGAATTTACTTCAAACGTTTTGCAAAATAAAACAATATAAACAATAAAATAAAACAAGACAAAAAATTAAAGCTGCAAACGGCGTCGAACGGCCCTTGCTGCACCGCGCAAAGGAGGTGGTGCTGACGTGCCATCTTCCTACTGGCCTGAAGGGGGCGACACTGTGTACTTGGAATGTCTCTGATCAGTGGAACTTTCATGAGTGTCTGTAGAAAGAACCCAAATATCTGAGTCTGCCGCACTCACTGTTTGACTTTTTAAAAATCTGTGATCAACGATTGATGGTTCATGTGTTGAGACGATGTGCAGCAATTTTGAGGCAAATCATTGAAACGGTCGAGGAGGAGCTGATTTCAAACAGAAAAATGAAAATTGATCATTTTCATGAAAATTGATCATTTTCATTTTTCCATTGATATTAATGGGCTTCCAGTTTGTCAGGGGGTGTGGCCATAATAACTTGAGTTTTGTAGGGGGCGCTGTTTTGGCATTTTTTTGTCCCACAAAATATAATTTTTTTGCCATTTCTGAATTTTGGGCAAAAAAAGTTTTCATGAATGTTCAGGGGGTCAAATTAAGGCTTAAAGGGCAGAAGAAAAAGAGCTGAAAAAGTCTAAAGTTGAGTGGAACCAGAGAGAGACCCAAACAGAAGTAGTTTGTTGGATTCGTTGTGGTTTTAAAGTTAGGTACCCCAGCTTTATCTAACTGTCACTGCCCTTTTATGGTGTTGTTGGTGATTATGTGGTTTACAGTGTTCTTTCTCTAACATGTTTTTAATCACCTTTCACTGCAGCAGCCTCTTCAGGGGTCACCTGCTGCATCATTCATAAGTCGTTAGCTTATTAGCGTTTTCCCGGCGAACACCTTGCGTGTGTTTAAATATTCAGATTCAGGAATGCAAATGGCGAGGATCACATGTTTTGCCGCTGCCGCAGCTGCCATCACGCCTCTTTGCATATAAATGAAAATTCCGTAATGATAAAATTAATGGGTAATTGCTTCATTATTGGAGGTCTGGAAGCGCCAACAGATGGCGGCGAAATGAAAGACAGTTTCTCTTTCATGTCCGTTCGTTTATATTAATCTGCTGCTGTTGGAGACGGACAAAACACCAATAACTCTGTCATTATGAAGAAAACTGGGTATTTTTCTGGAACGTCGTATATAATAATGAGGAAAACTAATGGAATTATGAGAAATTGAGCCAAAAAATGTTTAGTTTTTGACAGATGTGTTAAAATTAAGAAGTTTATACAGTTTTTTTACTCAGTGCTAAAACTGGTGAATACAACTTTAAACATACCACAAAAAGCAGTTTGTTGGAAGGCTATTGCTAACTGTTAGCAAGTTAAAAAAACTCAAATTACAAATAAATACAAACATTTCACAGCTGTTTTAACCTGGATTTGACCATTGTCACAGAAGAAGCCTGTCTCACACTTTCAGGAAGACTGCTCCAGATTATAGCCTGGCTCAAATGATACATTCTTAAAGTAGCACTGCCCTGATCTCCTGTTCATATCTAATCACACCTAAGGCTCCATTTTATATTTTTTTATATGTTTCATTTATTTATTTTATTTTTATTTAGAAAACACATAATATTGAGCCAAGGCAGAGCAGGGAGTAACTGTATTCACTGTGTAATTCAAAGTTTTAATAAAAGTAGTTCTGAAAATACAGATACTACTTTTTCCAAAGTAATGAAATACTTTACTACTGCAACTGTATGGGAGTACATTAGAGTCTGGTGTGAGAATGGTTGGTGCTTCTGTCAGTGTGCCCCAGGGCAGCTGTGGCTACAGTAGTTTATCACAGCTGTGTTTGGAGAGAGAGGATAATGAAGAGACTTTGAGCGTCTGAAAAGAACTGTATTAAACATTATTATTATTTGTATTATTCCTACAAAGTACACTTTAGAAATAGATTTTCACAGTATTCTCCCGACACTGGCCAAAGGTGTCGTGGATTCTGAGGGTCCTTAGGTCTTCTTTAACCGACCGTCACTTCCATGTGTGAGATTGGTGCAAAACAGCCTGAATATTGGATGGTAGGCACTGCACAAAGCCCACGTCAGCACATAATGCGAAGCCCACACGTCTCTTTGAAAACCTCGGAGCGAAGACCCCCCACCGGCACTTTCTCCAACTCCAGCAATAATTCAAAGGACGAAGAGAAAGAGTCACGGACGGTGTTGACACTGGGGTCTTGAAGCGTAGCAGGTGCACGTCAATAATTCTCATTTAATTGAATTTGAAATGTTCTTTAGAGCTTTGAAGATCAGAGCAGAGAACAATTCTATACAGCGGCCAAGAAAACATGGAAGAATCAAGAACACAATACCATAAAAGCATCTCTTCAGAATTAGACATTTCTTTAATCTTTGCTGCCGTTTGAGGATGTTTTAGATAAAGTATAAAGTCAATAAAACTCTTTCAATCAATAAAAAAGCTTAACAACTGCTTTTATCTGTTTCAGAATTATTCATAAAGTGCATTTTCAGGTTTGAAAGTGAGACCTCCTTCAAACCTGACTCAGTTACACCAGTTCTGTTTGAAGGAATGGGCCAAAATTCCAGGCAACTCTAGAGAGAAGCTTGTGGATACTCTCTCTTCTCAGCAAGATGGTTCTGGGTTCGAATCCCGGTCGTAACAGGGTCTTTCTGTGTTGAGTTTCCATGTTCTCCCCGTGTCTATGGAGGTTTCCTCCAGGTGCTCCGGATTCCCCTACCACTAAAAACGTATACAATAGGTCTAGCAGCGCCCCCTGTAGGCGACCTCGCTCCCATCTGTGTGGAGTCAGAGACGAATGTCCACAACCGGTCTGTGAAAGGCGCTATGTACATAAAGATTACTTACTTACTTAAGGAATGGGCCAAAATTCCAGCAACTATAATGAGAAGCTTGTGGATGGATACTGTGAATGTTTGACTCTGTTTGACTTAGATTAACTGGTCACGAAGTCATTCTCCTAAGGACATGTCAGTGTTGCATCACCAGTAGGAACGAGGAACACACAACACGAGACAAATGAACAATAATTCCACAATAAAATCTCTAACTCCAGCACGAAGAAGAAACAAGTACAAAATCTCTACCTTTGGCATAATAAAGAAGACAGTATAAAGTACTGTGTGTTCTAGTGCAGTAAATATATAGTTTATGTTTACATCCGTACATTAGCATTAGCATTAGCATTAGCATGAGGCACAGAGACACATGTGGTTCTGTATTGCACATTCTGACTTTAGTTCAAGATATTGCACCGATGCACGACATGTGAGGTTGGGTTCGGCGTTGCTCGCTAGTCCTGATTGGTTTGTTGTACAGTCTGACAGCAGCAGGAAGTGAAGACCTGCAGCACCTCTCCCTCCCACAGCGAGGATGTGATTGGAAATGATTAGCTAAACGTTGTATATTGAGCTAATTTGGACTCTTAAAATGCATTAGCGAGTGTAAATGACAGTGACCCAGCTTGGATTGGATTATCATGTATAAAATCCTATAATTCCTGTTGCTAACGGCTGCCATTCAGGCCGTCAGAGCGATAGCATTGACTGCATTGATCCTCGGCAAAGTGCTGGATCCGACAGCGAGAGAAGCTGGATGTAGCAGATTAGCAGAATTACTGTATACGCTTTGATTTTCACTGCAGCAATGTATAGCTTCTATATCGGCCCATAAACCTGCCATGAGCCGCTTTGAGAGTGACGTGGGGAAAGTGAACAATGCAGAATTCAAACCTGTCACTTACTCAGGCTCTTACCCTTCTCCCAGTCACCTCCCACTGCTGTTGTCTTGCATTTAGGTGTACGGCAGAGGGATTTTTACTTCTGAACATATTTTTGCCCTGGTGATGGTATGTGAGATACTAGAGGAGTTAAAACATCTCAATCAGAAGGTTGGTTCAAACCGAGTTAGACCAGCTTGGTAGGAGGAATGAGCCAAAATTTCAGAAAGTTTTAAGGAGACCCTGTTTGTCTTGGTTAACTGGTTTATATCAGATGAATGTACTATATCGTTTGGAAGGTTGAGGTTCTGTGAATAATTGTACTTAATAACTGAAAAATGTCAAACAAAAAAGTTATGACCAGTTATGTAAAGAGGTAAAGAGGAATGCGCCAGAATTCCAGCCAACTATCACGAGAAGCGTGCAGAACAAACCCAAATATGTGTTTGACTTGGTGAACAGCTAAAAGTGTAGAAGAATTGTAATGTAATAATCAGAAGGTTGGTAAAAACTTGACTCCGTTAGACTTGCTTGGTAGGAGGAACGTGCCAGAATTCCAGCAAGTTTTGAGAAGGAGATATTGTTAGGTTTGGTTAACTGGTTTATATCAGAAGAATGTACCATATCATTTGGAAGGTTGAGATTCTGTAAATAATTATACTTTACTGAATTCTTGTATAATTACAAGCTTCTCATGATAGTTGACTAGAATTCTGGCTCATTCTTCCTTATATTGCTTTCAGAACAAAACCCAAAACGTGTTAGACTTGGTGAACTGCTCAAAGTGTAAAGAATTGTAACGTAATAATCAGAAGAATGGTACAAACTTGACTCAGCTGCACCAGTTCTGTTTGAAAGAATGGGCCAGAATTCCCACCAACTCTAGTGATAAGCTTGTGAACCATACCCAGAATAACCATGTGTGACTTGGGTTAACTACAGGATATGTGAGATATTTACCAGAAAAGAAACTCAATTGTAAACTAAATTAGACATAGGATAAAAACGGCCGGATTCTTAGAGTGCTTTGGGAAGACTGTCATGTTCGCCTCCATGATCGTCAAAGGACCAGCTTTCAAGAAAATGACCGGAAAGTAATTTGAATGTGATGGAAAAGCTTTTGTCCATCTTCAGTCGCAGACGACATGAGTATATTTATCAGAATAATGGAAATGTGAACGGCACTGGTTTCTACTTTTCTGTCAACGCACTTTTTGACTTAATTCACTTTTGAAGATAAGACTTTTGACCAATAAATGAACCCAGAGTGTGAAAGATTCTGCATTTCAGTTTCCAGTCCACAAAGACATTTTGTATTTTAGAGGCAGTTTGTCATTTTTAACGATGGATTTTCAGCGAATGAACGAGTTGGAGATTGTTGTGACGTTTATGTGTATTTACTCTTAAACAGTAGTAAAATAAATATATATAGATTTTAACCTGAGCAGCCTGGTTTCAAGAAGTATTTTGACGCATATTATCTTGCTAGAATGAAGGTTTTCAAAAGAATGAAACCATCTTTTACACAGGAAAATTATACAGTGAGTCCAAAAACATAAAAACAGATTTGGGTCAAAATACAGAGATTGTATCTTATAAAATTCTGTTTTTAGTTGGTATTTTTAAAATTTGGTTTGGAAAATCACTGTTTTTTTGGTTAAATTTCAGTTTGGGGTCATTGGCCTTTGACTCTGAAGGTTGTGGGTTTGAGCCGTTGTGTCCTTGGGCAAGACACTTTCCCCACTTTGCCTTTAAGGAGCACGGAAGTAAAGTACGCTGCATGTCTTGTACAATATTCTCATTCTAATGTTTTTTCTTCTTCTTTTGTGTCTGTGCAGGTAACCGATAAGATGGCAGCCAGGGAAGCGACTGGGCACAGCTACCTGGTGGCTTGCTGGCAGCCCATCCTGCTCCTGATGCTGGGCTCCGTCCTGTGCCCCGCCTCCTCCACCGGATGCCCTTCCCGCTGCGAGTGCAACCTCCAGGAGCGCTCAGTTTTGTGCCACCGCAAGAAGCTCATGACTGTCCCCGAAGGCATCCCGGCCGAGACCAAACTCCTGGATCTGAGCAAGAACCGGATCCGAACCATAAACCCGGATGAGTTTGCCAACTTCAACAACCTCGAGCAGCTGGAGTTGAGCGAAAACACCATCTCCACCATCGAACCCGGGGCTTTTAACAACTTGTACGGTTTGCGGACATTGGGGCTTCGTAGCAACAAGCTGAAGCTGATTCAACTTGGCGTGTTCACCGGGCTGAGCAACCTCACCCAACTGGACATAAGCGAGAACAAGATCGTGATCCTGCTGGACTACATGTTTCAGGATTTGTACAACCTGCGATCCTTGGAAGTCGGTGATAACGACCTTGTTTTTATCTCCCATCGCGCCTTCCACGGTTTAAGCAGCTTGGAGCATCTGAGCCTGGAAAAGTGCAACTTGTCGTCCGTCCCCACCGAGGCTTTCACCCACCTCCACAGTCTGGTCACCCTTCGCTTGCGTCACTTAAACATCAACATTATCCGGGATTATTCCTTCAAGAGGCTGTATCGGCTCAAAGTTTTGGAAATAGCCAACTGGCCCTATTTGGATACGATGACTCCGAATTGTTTGCATGGATTAAACCTCACGTCTTTGACCATCGCCAACGCAAACCTGACCACTATTCCATACGTGGCTTTGCGTCACTTGGTCTATTTGCGATTCCTCAACCTTTCTTACAACCCCATCCACACCATCGAAGGAAATAAGCTGCACGACCTTCTTCGCTTGCAGGAGTTACATTTGGTCGGAGGACGGCTGGCCATGATCGAACCCTATTCGTTCCGTGGCTTGAACTACCTGAAGATTTTAAATGTTTCTGGAAATTCCCTCAGCACTTTGGAGGAGTCTGCGTTCCATTCGGTGGGGAACCTGGAGACCTTAGCCTTGTACGACAACCCGTTAGCGTGCGATTGCCGTCTCCTCTGGGTTTTCCGCAGACGCTGGAGGCTCAATTTCAATCGCCAACAACCTACTTGCGCCTCACCTGAATTTGTCCAAGGAAAAGAGTTCAAGGACTTCCCAGACGTGTTGCAGCCAAACTACTTTACGTGCCGCAAGTCAAGAATCCGAGATCGCAAACCTCAGCAGAAATTTGTCGACGAGGGAGCTATTGTCCACTTTGCATGCCAGGCGGACGGCGACCCAGCTCCAGCTATCATGTGGCTGTCCCCTCAGAAGAAGTTCATCACAACCAAAACCATCGGCCGGATTTCAGTGCTGCCTGATGGTACGCTCGAAGTACGCTACGCCCAAATCCAGGACAATGGTACTTATGCGTGCATAGCTAGCAACGCAGGCGGGAACGACACATCTCTCGCCCACTTGCACATCCACAGTTACTCTCCTGACTGGCCTCACCAACCCAACAAAACCTTTGCATTCATCTCCAACCAGCCAGCTGACACCGGTGCTAACGAAACCAGACAGAATGTCCCGTTTCCCTTCGACATAAAGACGTTGATCATCGCGACCACCATGGGGTTCATATCGTTCCTGGGCGTGGTCTTGTTTTGCCTGGTGTTGCTGTTTCTCTGGAGCAGGGGTAAAGGCAACACCAAGCACAATATTGAAATCGAGTACGTGCCGCGGAAATCGGACGCTGGAATGAGCAGCACTACGGCGGATGCTCCTCGCAAGTTCAACATGAAAATGATTTAAGAATGGAATATAATCATTTTGGACTTGTCTTATAAGAAAAAAGAGAAAGGCAGACTGTATCTTTTCTCTTACAAACCTGTGGATCCTGGTCTGTTAACATAAAGTAACTTTTTTCTCCTGACACAATAGAGAGGACTTTGGATTTTCAAAGCAAGAGGGACTGATATCAAACTCTTCAGAGCACAAATGTTTACCACAGCTTTGGATTACATCAACATGAAAATCAGTTCAAGGTTAAAACACTGGAAGCTCGAGGGGCTATTATTTGACTGTCTTAGGTCTGTGCTTTCATTTCAGTGCGTTTTTCTTTCCGGGGTTAGATGTCATGTTTCAAACAAGCCTTGTTTGGGCCGAGAGCACACGTCCGACTGAAGCACACAGTTAGCGTTAGCGTTAGCGGCGCAGAGAGTTCGTTTTGTTTCGTGATGACCGTCGTATACTTAATGTGATGTTATTTTACTTCAGGCCCCAGCTCTTAGTCTTAACATGAAACCTAACAGTAGCAGTTCAACAATGGAAGCTAAGTCCTGCTGCCTCTGATGTTGGTTTTGGTCAGAAATATATTGATAATTGATCAGCAGTTCGCAAATGACTCCCTGATGCTATTTTCCGAGGAAGCTGCTCCATTATGCATTGTCCAATATCAGATATCAGGGTCTATTTCACACACATTCTCTCTCTCTCTCTCTCTCTATATATAAATATATATCGATATATTCCCCTGGCCGTGTGCAAGCTAAGTCGAATATGTAATTTGATTGTGGAATTTGACTAAACAGCTAAGAACATGCCTTTCATGAAGCAGATGTGTCGGCATGGATATATTTGTTATGTCCATGGTTCTGGGGCTGCTCAGTGATGATGGGTCCATGCTGAAGCTTATTGTAAATAAAAGAATAGTCCGTCTGTATTTATTTTTCCAAAACCTGCTTTTCTGACTGCTCATATTCAGGGAAAAGTCAGTGGAAATACAAGTTCAGTACAACACAGAGAAATACAGTAAGTTTAGTTGTTTCGGCCAAAATCAAAACAACAATGGTCTCGAGGGGGTCACAGACCTACCAACTCCCAATTACAGACCGGGACTGGTCCAGGGAGTCCAGAGAGTCCAGAGAGTCCAGAGAGTCCAGAGAGTCCAGAGAGTCCAGAGAGTCCAGAGAGTCCAGAGAGTCCAGCGAGTCCAGGGATTAGAGTCTCTTCAGTGCATTCATGGGACAGAGGGATAATGGTTGAATAGCAATGCACAGACTGGTAGTAAAGTCAAACTATCCATCCTGCTGCACCGGGATTTGTGTTTAGTTAAAAGACGGCTTACAATGGACATTTGAAACACAGTAAAGATCAGATATTCCTTTCTTGGTCCCACTGTGGGGAAATGTCAGTGTCACCGCTGCACATTACAGCAGAGAAAGAAGGAAATGAGACTCAGACGCTCACATCAGAGTCTATAGAATTAACATAATTCTATAGACTCATAATAATAAGATGGTCAAATAGAATAAACTCTGAAGCTATAATGTCACTTTGTTCAGGAGTATTTACAGATGTGTTTATGTACCTTAGCAGTGGAGAATATGAACAGAATAGACAGTAAATGAGTAATAATGTCAGCAGTAAAGGGACTGGTGAATGGCTGAAGTATCAGATGGATGTGTAGTAATGCAGTAATAATAATAATAACAGGTAGAGTGACTAAGTGAGTAGAGTTTGGAGAATGAGGCAGGTGCATTCACAGCAGATGTGGACGACTGAGTGTTTGGCGCATTCAAAACGGTGCATCAACACATTCTAAAACCATCAATAATAATCTAAAACCTGAAACCCAGGAGTCCACCCATCTTAGAAGCTAGCAGCACCAGAGTTAGCGCCAATATGGACGACTCTAAAGAGTATCTCATTGGGACAACTGTAGTGTGGTCAGAATCTGTGAAAAGTCACGTTACGTCCCCTTTAAAACATCCCAAAACAAAGCCTCTCCTCGGCCGATACGTGTTTAAACTGCTTTATGTTTTTGTTTGAACAAAGCGGCAGCATGAACTCTGGCGTAATGTAAACAAATCCTCTTGAAGTGTCGCAGAAGTGAGAGCGGAGTCACACTAAACAGCCCCACACCGACGTGACACTGTTTATGACTGCATTATGTCGTGCTGAGGCTAAACGCTGGAACACACGGGAACACAAAGCTCTATCACTGTTATTCTCACTTCATAATATTATTTCCATATCATTTGAATGCTCCTCTCGCTAAACTACAGCCTCCTGGAATCACACATTTCCCCGACAGTTTTTGACAAGGACGTGAGAGCCTGGACCGGTAAATTCTCGCCGCAGTGAAAGGAGGTGTGCGGCGTGGACAGCTGGTCTTGGCAATCGTGCGCGAGGATAAAGGCTAAATTATTAATGATGGATGGCATTACAGATAGCGCTGCAGTAATGGGCTGATGCTACGGACTGAACACACAGCTGTTTGGAACCGCACGGATGCAGCCGCCTCGACGCCCCAAGGATAACAGTGGGAACAATACATAGACTGTAAAACCTGGAGGAAGGTGTGGATTGGTCATAATGATATGGCTGGTGTGGGTGGTGTGGGTGGGTGGTCATAATGATTTGGCTGGTCCCTCTTGCTGAATATGAATGCTCTCTAAATGTGGCTACTGTACGCCCCAAGTGAACTTTGGATTTATGTTTTGAAGTTTATTTTTTATTTCCGACCTTTTGGACTATACCAACCATGTAGTCCAAGCCAACTTTTTACAAGAAAAAGATATTAAAAAGAAGTCTATGGAAAATACATTAAAATTGTTCTGTGCAATAATAATATGCAGATTTTTGTTTCCGTTTTCTTTTTTTTTAATTAACAAAATTTTGTTGATGTTAAATTGTTGAGAATATGGTATGTTGTATTAAACAATCTATGGACTTTTTTAACACATGATGGTCTTATTTGATTTACCTCCAGAACATGTGGGTCACATGATCAGAGCAGGAAGTACTCGAGTAAACAGTGTGTGAGGATCGTATTACAACATTATTACATAAACTCTGCCAGGACCCTCAAACACATACCTCTGTCCCTTCGGTCTGAAATCTCACTCACGGTTCTGTCCTGTACCTGTGCTAAAGGTAGAAGAAGTAAGTATCTATTTATCAAACGCATTTTGCAGACCAAGGTACAGACACAAAGCGCTTTACAATGTTTAGAAACCAGAAGTTGTTCCGTTCACACACAGTGACGATGGTAGAGAGACCAGAACACACTGGACCATCAAAGCCTCCGACCAAACACCCTCCACTCACTCACTACATTCAGATCTATTGTACATGTTTTTAGAGGTAGGGTAAACCGGAGCACCTGGAGGAAACCTACGCAGGCACAGGGAGAAGATGTAAACTCCACTCAGAGAGGCCCTGTTCTGAAAGGAATTTGAACCCAAAAATAGTTTCTAATAAGATGAAGGAGCCTGTTGTATTTTTCTCTCATGGAAGAAAAGACGTCAAAGTGCTGACCTGTGTAGACCAGTACACACACGTCACACACGGATTACAATAACATAAACCATCACCTTCAGTCTCTGTCTCACATCTGAAGGAAGACTGTCCCAGGATTTAGCTGGATCTGAAACTCAGCCTCTCCATGTTCAGTCCTGACTCTGGGACCAGCAGGAGTCCAGTCCCTGTGCTCCTCAGAGTCCCAGCAGGAGTCCAGTCCCTGTGCTCCTCAGAGTCCCAGCAGGAGGCCAGTCCCTGTGCTCCTCAG